CGCTCCAGCCCCCCCAGGTCCTTCGGGGAGGGAGGGGCCCAACCCTGACCCCAGCATTTGAGGGGCGGCCTCACCAGTGTATATGAATACCTGAAAGGAAGGTGTAAAGGAGATGGAGCTCAGAGATGCTCAGGGACAGGACAAGAGGCAATGGGCACAAACTGAAATAGAGACAATTCTATTTAAACATAAGAAGAATTTTATTTTTTTTTTTAACTATGAAGGTGATCAAACACTGGCACAGGTTTCCCTGACAGGTTGTGGAGCCTCTGTCCTTGGAGCTACCCAAAATCTGATTGCACATGGACCTAGGCAACCTGCTCTGATCTACAATGCTCTGAGTAGAGGTTTGGACTGCGATCTCCAGAGGTGCCTCCAACCTCAGTGATTCTGTGATTCTGTGTGAAATATTTAATTGGTAATATTTTTTTCAGAAGAGTTCCATTTTGTTAAGGATTAATCCCCTGTGGATAACTCTAAATCTTATTGCTAAAACAGGTTGACTGCTTTATGACAAGCTGTTAGAAGCCTCGACCCTTCACTGCTGTAGACGGTGCATCTTAGCCCTATTTGGGAGTGAGTGCTGCCGGTCGGGGCTGCTCTCGGCTGCAGTATGCACCACCAGCTCATTGATTCCTTCACAAGAGCAGGATGGAAGCCGCTAACTGAGTCCTTGATATGATCTCTGTGCTGAAGGCTCTCTCTTTTGAATAACCTTGAGCTGCCAATTCTTGACCTGACTTCACTGAACATTTGAAGTGTCTTGCAGGGGAATTTGGCTTAAATAAATTCCAGCCTGTTCCTTTCTTGGGCCCGGGGACAACGTGTTCAGGGAAGATACATGGCCATTAAACTTTGATTTTTCATCTAAAGTGAGTAGCATTGTTCAGCAGACTTTGGTGCTGCAAGGAAGCATTTCTGCTGGGATGCTTTATTCTCCCTAGTTATCTGTGTCCATAAGGTTTCCAAGCAGTATTAGGTTTCTTATTCCTGTGTCTCAGGGGCAAAGTATTTTTTTTTTCAAAAAAGTTTTGGTGCTCATCAAAATGTTTCTGCATTTCTGACAAGGTTTTGAAGGATCTCTTCTCCCTGGTAATGGGCAATAGGATGAGGGGAAACGGCCTCAAGTTGTGCCAGGGCAGGGTGAGGTTGGACATTAGGAAAAATTCCTTCCCCAGAAGGGCTGTCAGGCAGTGGAAGGGCCTGCCCAGGGAGGGGGTCGAGTCCCCAGCCCTGGGGGGATTTAACAGCCGGGCAGAGGCGGTGCTGAGGGCCAGGGTTTGGGGGTGGGATGGCAGGGGTAGGGGAACGGTTGGGCTTGATGACCTTAAAGGGCTTTTCCAACCTAAACGATTCTGTGATTCTATGATCCCTAATAAAATGGAAAATCACCCTGGAATGATGCTCTGTTGCTGGTGTGGACTGGTCTCGGAGTTTAGGGGAAATCGTATTTTCTCCTCTATTCTTTAAAATGAGTGACCCCAGCGACACGAATTTGAGAATACGGCTGCTGCGCTCTGTTGAAAACCAACAGCCTCACCAGTCTGTCCGGCTCAGCTTCTGCAGCTGCTCTTCAGGTCTTTGGTGTATCCAGAGAAGAGGCTGAAAATTTTCCGTAGCGATAAGGCGAGGTACTTGGGAGCCTTTGCAGAGAGCAGAGCACAGGGCTGAGATTAGCACTGAGGCTACAGCACAGCTCTGAGGAGATAAAGAGAGACCTACACCCCATGCCATGGTGCTTAGATTCAGAAAGAGAAAGTGTTTCTTTACCTGGAATAGACAGCTCTTACTTACAAGTCAGATTGTAATTCCTGGCCGATCACATGGACCTAACTCTGGCTGCCAGGGAAAGCGCCTGTGCCTGGCTTCACATCCTTCAGAGAAGAAGGTAGATTGTCCTTAAAGCATGGACTTTAGGGGCAATCCCCGGGGTGCATCAGGAGAAGCGTGGCCAGCGTCGAGGGAGGGGATTCTGCCCCTCTGCTCTGCTCTGGGGAGACCTCCCCTGGAGCCCTGCGTCCAGCTCGGGAGCCCTCAGCACCAGGAGGACATGGACCTGTTGGAGCGGGGCCAGGGGAGGGCTACTAAAATGCTCCGAGGGCTGGAGCCCCTCTGCTATGAGGCCAGGCTGGGAGAGTTGGGGGTGTTCAGCCTGGAGAAGAGAAGGCTGCGGGCAGAGCTGAGTGCGGCCGGTCAGGGCTTCAAGGGGGCCCAGAGGAAAGGGGGGGACAAGCTTTTTAGTAGGGCCAGCTGGGACAGGACAAGGGGGGATGGCTTTAAACTGAAGCAGGGGAGGTTTAGGCTGGATCTAAGGAAGAAATTCTTTCCAGTGAGGGTGGTGAAACCCTGGCAGGGGTTGCCCCGAGAGGGGGTGGAGGCCCCATCCCTGGGACCATTCCAGGCCAGGTTGGCCGGGGCTGTGAGCAACCTGATGTGGTTCAAGGTGTCCCTGCTCCTGCAGGGGGGTTGGGCTGGGTGACCTCTGGGGGTCCCTTCCAACCCAAAACATTCTGTGATTCTGTGATTCTATAAGAGAAATAAAAGTTCCCATTACTTGATTTGCAGCAAACAATAAGTCATGTGGGGAACAAGAAAGTGAAGACTCATGGTCCTTACTGTGTCTCTACATTGAGACAGAAAAGGGCTGTAATTCCATTGTAGCTGTCACCGTCATTTAAAACAATATATATTTCCGATTTTTTCCATGTACACCCCAGAACGGGACACTTCTAATTGATGCTCCAAGAACAAGAGTGTTTCTTATCATTAGAGAGCCGTCACAAAACGAAAAGCAGAAGCAAAACCTGCTGTCAGAGCACACCGTGCAAGCTGTTTGTGCTCTCACGGTGATGAGCGCTCAAAATGTCACCCCCGCCTTGTGGCTGGCAACATCTCCGGAGCACCCTGCACTCTCTTGACAGGATGCTGTCAGGAAGTAAACTTTATTCCATAATTCACAGTTGTTACACCTGCCCGCTGCTTCTGTCTCCTACTCCTACGCCCCTTGGTTACCCATTTGTCTGGAGTTTGGAAAAGTTTGAAATCTGTAGTCAAGTTCTTGCTGGACACACTTGGGTGTGAACCCTGTAGCCAACCCATCCTCCCTCACAGCATCAGCTTTGCAAAGGCCCTGTAACTTTTCCAAAACCTTCCTGGCAGAATTTCAAGGATAAGCGTCTGCTGCAGGTCTCATTTGTTGTTTTCAGCAACATTTTGGGCAAGTGTCTGTGCATATTAAACAGTGGCTCCAAGGAAGATGGAGACTCCCTTTTCACCAGGGGTCCCATGGAGAGGACAAGGGAGAATGGACACCAGTTGCTCTTGGGGAGATTCCCATTGGGCACAAGAGGGAAGTTTTCCCCCATGAGAACAGTCACCCACTGGAATAATCTCCCCAGGGGAGGGATTGACTCCGCCACATTGGACTCTTTCAAGCCTCAGCTGGACAGGGTGCTGGGCCGTCTTGTCTAGGCTGTGCTCTTGCCTAGAAAGGTTGGACCAGATGATCCTTGAGGTCCCTTCCAACCTGGGATTCCATGATTCTATGATTCATATCTAGCAATGAGGGTCAGGCAGGCACATCCATACTAACCAACATGTTGGGCAACAGCTGAGCGTATCTGGTACAGTAATGGCTATTTTGTATTTTAAGTAAGACTGCCATCATTCTGCTATTAATTTGAAGATTTTACGTGGCACAGAGAGGCTGAGTGTGCTCGGAACAATCATGGATCTCTGTAGCCTCAGGAGCGATGGAATTACATGCTTTTGATAGCTAAATTGATCAGTTATTCCAAAGAGCCCTGCGGCATGGGCTCGATCAGCCTGCTCAAACGATCAGCCAGCTGTTCTTCCCTTGCTTCATATGGGCGTTGGTTTTTGTCTTTAAGAAAACAAACATTATATACAAACCTATTTTTTAAATATAGGTAGTCTTGCCTAAGACCCCGCCTTTTTTCACATCGTAGACCCAGCACCGTTGTGCAAAAAAGTCTTGGAGAGGAGCAGATGGGAAGGAAGGGGGAACCGTTTAAGCTGAAGAAGCTAAGCCTTGCCCAAGAGCTGTCGCTGCTGTTTGGAAGAGGGCTGGGGCTGAGCAGCCGCGTTCCGTGAGCAGCCCTGCCGCCGTAGCACCGGGCTGGGCTCCGGGGAACCCTCCGGAGCGTTTCCCTTCTCGCAAGCCCTTTCTGTCGCAGGTCTTGTTTTACCCAGCGGCGTGCGTGTGGGCAGAGACAGACTAGCCTCGTTAGAAGCCGCGATTCCTTTGTGCTGCTTCCGCACCCTCCCGGGCGCTTGGGAAATGAAATGCTGCAGTGGGAGGCAGGTGGGAGACACGGTGCCGCCCAGTCGCTCCGGCGAGCATCGCTTCCCCCACCTCCTTCCGAGAAGATGTATGGCCTCATTCTGGGCACCCTGGTGAAGTAGCCGTGATGAGAATATTTGCTGCCCCATTACACGTTTTGCCTTATGTTTTTCAAGGCACCGAGTTTTGCTAGTGCTAGAAATAAGAACTTTTTATTAGCAGGAGCTGAGTCACTGTGCAGCTGCCTCAGATCTGAGAGGTTCCGCTGCAAATACAATTTGTATGAGCCTCCCAGCTGCCTTTCCAAACTCCCTAAATAAAGTGGTCTCGCACGAATTTGACTGCCTGAACTTTCTCCACCGAAGGCAATGGTTTACATAGCGCAGAGAGACACCACTGCCCCGCACCTCTGCAGATAACAGCAGTGAGCCAGAAGGATCCAAAATCTCCAAACTATGTGAATTCCTGAGCCCTGGCAAATGAAGTCGATGCGGTTGCTGTCTCTTGGTGCACCAAGACAGTCTGGCTTCTGTTCGGTGTCTGAGGCAGGGGTATTAATGGGAGAGAAGGGCTGCCAAATGCAGACGATCTGTTGCTTACTGTAAAGAACGTCTGTGCTGGAACCAGTAACTTAATGGTTGTTGCTGGGGAAAGCCCCAGGGCTGTGGGATTTTTCTCCACGGCGAGGGACAACTTTTCCGGGCTTATTTGAACTTTGAGGATTATCTTGTCCTTCAAAGATACTCCCTAGTAGTAGTAAGGGCATCACACCTATCTTCAGGCTCTGTGGCACTCCGTTAGAAGTTGGACAGTCTTTATAAGCGAGACCTAAGTGTAAGGCAACCAAGTTGTTTATTTATGCTTGGGGTTAGGAGGTTATAAATGCCTCGTTTGCACTAAAGCACAGAAAACTCTTTTTTTGCCCACCTCACCCTGGGAAGCCTGGCGTCCCTCCCGAGCAATGGGTGCCACTGCCCTGCCCGCAACGGGGGAGCGTGCTCCCTGCGCGCCCGCCTCACCCTGGGAAGCCTGGCGTCCCTCCCGAGCTGCAGGAGGCAATGGGTGCCACTGCCCTGCCCGCAACAGGGGAGCGTGCTCCCTGCGCGCCCAGTTTGCCTCCACCGTGACTGCACATCACCAGTTCACCGGGTTCCTAAGTTTCAAAGTTCTCAAATACAGGGCAAGAAACTCTCCCCACCTGCTCAGACCTAGCAGAGGCCCGTGCAAAACGGGACGGGGGTTGAGCAGGGGACTGCTGCTGTACCACCCAGCCCCTCTGCTCCATCCGGGGAACCTAACCAATTCCAGTTCTCCACCTCTCTTCTAGGAAGCTTGAACGTTTACCTGCGGTTGAAAGGTCAGACTGCGATAGAGAACCCATTGTGGTCTTCAAGTGGAAATAAGGGACAGCACTGGAACCAAGCCCGCGTTAATATAAACCCCCCGACTTCATTTCAGGTAATGGCTTGTGCATCACACACCAGCAACGGCAGTATTCGGGTTTCGGAGGGGGGGCCCGTGTATGCTGACCCTTTCCTTCTGACACAGGATTTCAGAGCTTCATTTCAGCTCTGCAACCTGCTTTACAGGCAGATAATTGCTCTCCTTGCTGTAAATAAGTGAGCACCACAGAGCTTAAGAATGCATACTTTAATGGCAGAACGGCAGCTATTTGCTTGAAGACAAAATGTCCTTCGGTTTTCAGAAGATGCTGTTGGGCAACATAAAGCATTTTTTTATTTCAGATTAGCAACTGGAATACAAAATTGCTCCCTGTGAAAAAATATTTAGGGTCCATGGTGTAGAGACTGTGCTGGAGGTGTCCTGAAATACCTGCATTTTCTGCAGAGAAAGGAATGATCCCCAAGTCTTTGCTGAGAGGTCCCACAGCAGCGGTGCTGCCTGCAGGGAGCTCCCGGTCCGGCAGAGCTTGCACGCCTCAGTCGCTAGGCTGGTGCAAGTTGTGACGGGTTTTCACACATTTCATTTTGGGTTTGACAGTGCCATGCTGATGGACTGTTATGGGCAGTTCTCGTGCACGCTGCGAGCTGTTTGTAACTGGAACAGACCCAAAAAGGCAGCTGCTGGGAGCAAGCCCTCGTGTGCTTGAGCCTGGGAGTATCGTCACGGACGGCGGGAGTCAGACCCCGTGTCCTGCGGTGCGACGTTCTCCAGGCTCCGCCGTCCCCTCTCTGTAACCTCCCGGTCCCCTGGGGGAGGCGATGGCTGTGGGGAAAGGGAGTCATTCGGTGCAAGTCAAAACTAAACTTGCAGACTGGGATCCGCTTTCTGGATAATTACTGATCCTGACCCGTTGTTTTTATTTGCATGCATGAGAGGCAGTGGCAGAAGAGAAACGATTTGGCATGTGTGATGGCAGAAGCATTGCGTGGGGGGGAATGAGAGGAAAATTGAAGGAGAGGGAAATGTATAGCGTTACACGATGTTTGGGTGGAACAAAGTGGCAGAACTGGGGAGGAAGAGTGCAGAGAAGAGGGATATGGGTGTTGAAATGCACTTAGAGCATGGGGCCAAGTATAAGGGAGCCGATCAGAGCGGGTGAATCTTGCATTGGTGAAGTCAGGATAAATCCAAGGAGTCTGAACAGTGAAGGAGAGAAGAATGATTTAGCATCTGAACATAATAAATGGACTGGTAAAGGGAAAGAAAAGATGGCTGTGGAAGCTGAAACCAAAGTAATCGTGGTTCTGTCTGAGGGGGATTCCTGAGCTTCAGCAGAAGCAGGGGAAGGACGAGGACATCGCCTCTGGGCAGAGAGCTGCAAAGGATTCGGCACCAGCAATGCAGAGGAGCGGAGGAGGGTGATGGGGTGCAGACCTGGGGTCACCGCGTCAGCATGGGGAGGAAGGCATGGGTTTGGGAGGAGGGGCGAGCTGGGGTGTCCGCCCCACACGGGGTCAGTGGGGGCGAGGCATCAGCAGAGCAGCCAGCAGCTCCCGGTACCCAGGCTGCTGCTTTTGCCACGGAGTCCGAGCATCGGCCCTTGCACAGGGCTTTCAGAAAAGTTACAGGGATCACTTCTGCTACTGGTGCACCTCAGCTCACGTTGCCTTAAAACCGTATTCACCGGTGCCACAAGCCAGTATGCAACATGGAAGCTCCTCCACTCGGCTATTTTTCACCTTTTACTTTGTTGTGTTTAAAGGCTTCGGTGTAAAACACATGTAAAGCCATGAAGCTCTGCAGAAATATAACAAATAAATCTCAGCGTGGCTGGAACCTTAAATTACTTTTTAGCAGCTCTTGCATCAAGCAAACTTTATTTTCCATTTAGGAGTGTAAGTAGGAAAGAGTATAAACCTCCCAGTTAGATTTAAGGAGAGTGAATTGAAGTGAGTCTTTGCAGCAAAACAGGACACTGACACAGAAATTAAAACTTTTTATAGGTTAATTTATCTGAGTACGAGTGCAGCCCAGATTTGTTTTATACCTTCCCAGTCCCCAGGATATATAACAGAGCTTCTGTTGTGAAGAACTGCGAGGGCTACCGTGCTTTGAATCTGAAAAAGTATTGCTTAAAAGCTGTCTCCATAAGATGTTCACTTATTAAGTATTTTTAAAGGATAAACACAAAAAAAAGAGAGCACATGGAAGCGAGGCATTGCACGCTGGCACCTTGGAAGGTGTCAACCTTAGTTCAGATTTAAGCAGGAGCACTCACCGCCGCCTTCACCTACACTTCCCTTGACACCATCTGGTACCAAAGACTTTTCTTTGCAAAGGAGGGTTTTGGGGTTTTTTTGCATTGAGGGACTGACCTGTCCTTCAGTAAATGACCCTGCTGGACCACTGAGATTTTCAGCCCCTTACAGTGAGAGTAAGGGGCTTGCGCCCTTGTCATCGTGCTGTCCAGTGGTGGGCATTCACGAGGCTCCTCTCTACTTCTTGTTAGGAGACTGGAAGGTAAAATCCGTCTGAAATCCTGTTGAAGAAGCACAAGCTGAATCCCCAGA